TGCTGCAGACGTCAAGATTGGGTATTTTTCCTTGTCTGAGAATTTCCTTCTCATTGTTGGTAATTTTCTCTTCAGGAGAAAGACAATGTGGTGTGGTACATGGTGTGTGGTTCTAGAGACAAATAGCACTCAGTGTTAAATCTAGGTTCCTTGGTTATTAAATGTGTGATTTTGGGCAAGTCACTTTTCTCAACCTTGGTTTTTACAGCTTTAAAATGGGGATAGTGCCTTACCTTGTGGAATTATTATGACTTTTGAGATAGTATTTATTCATTCATTCAACAAATACTTTTATTCAGCACTTACTACGTGCCACATAGTGTTCTAAGCACTAAGCCTATAGAAGTAAACAAGAACTTTAAAAGTTCTGCTCTAATTTAGCTTACATTCCAGTGGGAATAGAAAACAATAAAGTCAGTCATATATCATATGACAAATGGTGATGAATATGATGAAGGAAAAAATAGGGGGTGAGGATGTGTGCTGACACGCAGCAGAGGTGCAGTTTAATAGGACAGTTAGAGACGTCCTCACTGACTGCATGACTTGAGCCGATACAGGAACTGAGGATACGCACGGATACCTGGAGCAAAAGCATTCTGAGCAGAGGGAACATGGACTGTAACTGTTCAAGGTGGGCGTGTGTCTGCCTGTTTTAGAACAGCAAGGATGCTGGCGTGGCTGACGCAGTGAGGTGGACAGAGAAATGAGGTGAGAGAGGTGGCAGGGCAGGGGCCCAGATGGGAAGGATTTTCTGGGCCTGTAAACATTTGGCTTTTTCCTCTGCATGTCATATAACTAGCAGATCAGGGATACTCGACAAATGGTAACTGTGATGATGGGGATGCCATGATAATGCTCATAAGCAAGTTTATATAAATGCTTTGTGAACAGTAAACTAATACAATCTACGTGAAGCATAAAGGCTGTGTTTGCTGAGTTGCTGACTTGGAAGCCACCTAGTTCAGCTTCTTCCAGAGCATGGTTGTCTTGTCTGTGTGCATGCTTCTAGAAAAGGGGCACTCGCTACTGGAAACACTGCAAAGCGCTCTCTCACCTTTCTTGATTTGGATTCTGTGTTATAGTTGACACGGCCTGCATATGCACCTTCCTTGAAGTTGTGTCATGTTGCTGCCTTAAGGTGCACTTGTACTACCAGCAGCTTAAGACTGAGTCTTTGTGCTGAATTTATCCGTCTGTAACCCAAATAAAAGCTCATCATGATAAGGTATTGAGCTGGATCAGGAGAGTAGATGAAGGAGCTTTGCTATTAAAAAATGAGGTAGGTGATGGAAGGGACAAATCGAAAATCATAGTGAGGGAAGCTCACGGAAGTGCTGGCTGTGCTGTGCCAGGTTCTGTTCTGTTCTGTGCCTGGGGTGGGCTCCCTTGTTGGTGGGTGGGCACCAGAACGTGGAGTCGGTGTGACTAATGACTGCAAGTGCTGAGCTGTAATTGCCACAGAGAGCACAGAGCACCAGCAATTCCCAAAACTATTAAAAAATCTCAGAAAAGGAACCAAATGTGGGAAGTTAAATATGGGTGGGCGGGGGGGGGGCTTTCCTTCCTGCTGCTTTTTGATGGAATTGGGAAACCAGCAGAGCTCCTAGGAGAACTATACCAAGAGCAGCAGTCCCCATTTATTGAGCACTTGCTGTATGCCTGGCATTTTGCATCCTGAACATTTTAATTCTCTCTCTTAATCCTCAAAACTGCAATAGGCTTTACCCTTTGTTATAAGCTGAGTTGTGTCTCCCCCTGACAACATTCATACGTTGAAGCCCTAACCCTAGTACCTTAGAATGTGACTGTATTTGGAGATAAGCTCTGTAAAGAGATAATTAAGTTACAAGGAGGTCATTGGGGTGGGCTCCAATCCAGTCTGACTGGTGTCCTTATAGGAAGGGGAAATTTGGGCACAGATGCATGCAGAGAAGACCATATGAAGACACGGGGAGAAGGTGGCTATCTATAAGCCCATGACAGAAGCCTCAGAAGAAACAAACCCTCCTGACACCTTGATCTCAGATTTCTAGCCTCCAGGATAGTGAGGAAATAAATTTCTGTTGTTTAAGCCACTCAGTCTGTGATACTTTGTTATGGCAGCCCAAACAAACTAATACACCCTGTTTTACATCTGAGGATCAGAGAGGATATGACACTTGCCAAAATTCTCACAGTTATGGCTAGGTAGGGTTGGGATCAAGTCCAGGTGTGTTTGATTCCCAAACTTGTGCCTATAACTAACATGTTATGTTGAGTCCCGAGTGTGTCTTCTCTTGATTTTTCAAAAAAAATTTATTTCAGAATATTACAGAGGTACAAACGTTTTGGTTATATAAATTGCTTTTGTACCGTTTGAGTCAAAGTTATAAGTATGTCCATCCGCCAGATAGTGTGCATTGTACCGTTAGGTGTGAATTTACCCAACCCCTCCTCACCACTCCCTCCTGCTAGATTTCTGATGAGTGTTATTGCCATATGTGCACATAAGCATTGATCGATCTGTACCAATTAAATGGTGAGTACATGTGGTGTTTGTTTTTCCATTCTTGAGATACTTCACTTAGAATAATGGTCCCCAGTTCCATCCAGGTTAATACAAGAGGTATTAGTTCCCCATTTTTTTCTTTATGGCTGAGCAGGACTCCATGGTATATCCGCATTTTATTAATCCACTCGTATTGATGGGCACCTGGGTTGTTTCCACATCTTTGCATTTGTGGATTGTGCTGCTGTGGACATTCGAGTGCAGGTGTCTTTTTAATAGAATGTACCTCAAAGAACTAAAAGTAGAACTGCCATTTGATCCAGCAATCCCACTACTGGTTATTTACCAGAAGGAAAAAAAAGATGTTCTTTATTTCACTTTTCAAACAGCAACTGGCACCCAGATCTTTGACTTCTGGTGCATTGTTTTCACTAATGTACCTCCTTCCTCCTTTGCCACACCTTCCTCGGGGGTAAGACACTGATAAATACGTGAATTTCTCTGGACAGGAATGGCCCAAATAGGTTCCTAAGTTTTAGGGGCTTAGTAAATCTGGGAAGATTTTTGTCTGTTTGGGACTTTCCTTCCCAGACTTGTTCTTCAAAGTGGCTTGTGCCTGCTTAGAAGTGGAGTTAAGCTTACCAGAAAAATGGGGCCGATAACAAGTATTTAGTATTGTACTTCCACTGTTGCTATCACTGAGAAGGTTAGTGGCTTAATCAATCGGCAGTAAATATTAGAATCACCTGGATAACTTTTAAAAAAATACCTAAGTCCTAATCTTACTCTCAGATGTTCCACGCTAGGAAGTCTGGGACAGAATCTGAGTATGCATAGTCATTTGTTTTTTTAAATCTTCCCTGGTGATTTTGTTATGTCCCATCAAGTGGAGAACCCTCGAAGTTGAGGAATGACTTATTTCTGTAATCTAAACTGTTAACATGGTTGCATCTAAGCAGTATTAACATCTTAAAACCTAACTCTTCCATTTTAACTTTTATTACCTCTTCATCAGGCTTCCGTATTTTCCACAGTTCTTTAAAGTTAATCCTATTCTGGAGGTGCAAGGACATGAAAAGGAGTTGTTGTCCTAACAGAGGACCCCTAAACCACCAGAATTAGTTATTCCTTGTGGTCGCTAGCAGGGCTGAATGCGAAAGCCCAGTAGGTGGGTACTACCCAACACATTTTGAAATCTAGTCTAGCTCAGTTCAGTTTATTTTGTATACTTTGCATTTTCCTCCTCCAGAGGGAGCCAGAGTTCAGCTGAGCAGACCGCCTTGTACCCTCATTAGACAAGGAAAAAAAATTTTTTTTCTTTGAGACAGTCTCGCTCTGTTGCCCATGCTCAAGTGCTGTGGCATCAGCCTAGCTCACAGCAACCTCAAACTCCTGGGCTCAAGTGATCCTCCTGCCTCAGCCTCCCGAGTAGCTGGAACTACAGGCATGCACCATGATGCCCAGCTAAGTTTTTGTCTATTTTTAGTAGAGACAGGGGGGGCGGGGGGGTCTCACTGTTTCTCAGGCTGGTCTCAAACTCCTGACCTCAAAGTGATCCTCCCATCTCGGCCGGCCTCCCAGAGTGCTAGGATTACAGGCATGAGCTACCATACCCACTGTTTTATTTATTTATTTTTTAAATTTATTTTGGAGTTGGGTCTTGCTATGTTGCCCAGGTTGAACTTGGACTCCTGGGCTCGACGGATTCTCCCACCTCAGCCTCCCAAGTAGCTGGGACTACAGGCGTACACTACCACACTAATTTTCTAATATCAGGCTTAACAATTTTATTTTAAATTTTTTCCAGCTTTATTGAGGTATGCTTGACAAAAAGTATCGATATTTATCGTGTACAAAGTGATATTTCGATATACATGTATATTGTGAAATGATTACCACAGTCAAGCTTAATTAACATATTCATCACCTTACATAGGTATGATTTTTTTGTGTGTACAGTGAAAACACTTAAAATATACTCTCTTGGGACATTTCAAGTATACAGTACAGTATTAAGTCTAGTCACCACACTGTAAGTAGATTGCCCATCTTGGTTAAGTGTGGATTCAGGTGAAGAATCCTACACTAATTGATTTATACTCTGTATAAAATTGTGCTAACCTAAGAATCTACTCATAAGCTGTTAGAGTTAAAAGGACACAGATATAATTTTGTCCCTTCATTTCTTTAACAGAAGAGGAAATAGAGGCAATGTAACTTGCCTAAGGTCACACAAGTTAGAGCAGAGAAGGGACTAGAGCCAGGACAGGTTTAGTGATTTTTAGTTTATCATGTGACTCCTTAATCTTTGAGTCTTCCAAATGCAAAAGTTAGGTTATAAAATAGCATATTTTCTTTTAATATTAAATTTATGGAGGTTATAAATTTTTGGTTAAAGCTCCTTTTTGAATAGTATATGCAGATTTAATTCTGTCACTGAAAATATTTCAAGGACAAATTAGAATTGGACAGTATCTTGCATTTGACATGTTTTGTTTTTGGTGTTTAGGTTTTCCTAGGACATTAGGGCAAGCTGAAGCCCTGGACAAAATCTGTGACCTGGACCTAGTGATCATTTTGAACATTCCATTTGAAACACTTAAAGATCGTCTCAGCCGACGTTGGATTCACCCTCCTAGCGGAAGGGTGTATAACCCGGACTTCAATCCACCTCATGTACATGTAAGAATACAAAGTGCTTTTGCCAACTGACAAGAAAAAGACAAACAATTTCAGCTGAAAAGTGGGTAAAGGATATGAATAGACTATTCAAAAAAGAGCAGATCTACATGGCCAAAAATCATTTTTAAAATGTTCAAATTCAGTAGTAGTCAGGGAAAGGAAATTTAATTAAAAATAGCATATCATTCTGGATCCTTTAGACTGGGCAAAACTGAAAAGATTGTAACATCTATTGCTGCTGAGTATCTGAGAAAAGTGGTACTCTCATTTTTGTTAGGTGAAGTATTACTAGCCTTTTTTTAAAGCAACATGGCAATGTACATTAAGAGTTTTAAATAAATGTTTCATCCAACCCACCTCTGGGAGAATAGCCTTTGGAAATGGGAACACTAGCTAGCAGGTAAGGTCACCTGTACAATGGTGCTTATTTCAGTGTTGTAGTAGCCAAAAAAACAAAACCCCCCCCAAAATCCAAATGAATGTTCATCTGCAGGAGACTGGTTGAATACATTTGAGAACGTCCCCATCATCTTGGAACATAATGTGTTCAGTAAAAAGAATGAATTCGCACTATACTTTTTTGACATGGAGAAATTTCCTGAAGGTATTGCTCAATGAGAAAAGCAAACAGCAGAATGATCCTGTTTTTGTAAACCAGTGACCACACCTCTTTATGTTTATCTGTTTGTGAGTGCCCGTATGTGCTTTCTTTCTAGCTGTATAAGATCAGGGAGAAAGTCATTAAGGCTCTGTCAGGGCTGGCAAACAGCCCAGGCTGGGGCTGGATGAGGGAAGGGCCTCAGAGTTGATGTGCCCAGGGGCAGGGGGGAGGATTAAGGTGACTGGCCAGGGCTAAAGGAATAAAAAGGTTGCCTTTAAAAAGTTCAAAATATAACATTGATATAATTACCTAAAGTATAATATGTGTAACAGTCTGTATATAAAGATACTTGAACAAATTCACTTAAAAGAGTTATTGTTCTTTCTCATAAAGACTATCTGATTTATCTTTCTGATAATGACTTTCTCTATTTATCTGCTAAGGACAGATTGAACTAATGCAATGATTCAGTCTGATAATACTGAAGTCCAGTTATTGGGTGGTAGTATTACTTGTTATCCAAATGTGGAGGAAGCAGCATTCTGTCTTACTGGGTTAGTCTTTATGGAAAAAACTAGACTTGAATATCGATGGAGGCAATCATTACTACAGAAAATTACTTCAAGGGCTAAGGATGATTCCCCAACTCCTGGGTGCCATTGTGTCAGTAAAGTCTCAATGAGATTGGTTGCTTTGGATTAAGCACTAGTCTCCTTTTGAAGCCATCTTTTAAAAATATAAATAGGCTGGGCTCCGTGGCTCACCCCTGTAATCCTAGCACCCTGGGAGGCCAATGTGGGAGGATCTCTTGAGCTCAGGAGATCAAGACCAGCCTGAGCAAGAGCAAGATCCCACGTCTCAAAAAAAAAAAAAAAAATATGTGGGAGACCAGGCTCCGTGGCTTGCACCTGTAATCCTAGCACTCTGGGAGGCCAAGGTGGGAGGATTCCTTGAGCTCAGGAGTTTGATGTTGCTGTGAGCTAAGGCCGATGCCATGGCACTCTAGCCTGGGCCACAGAGCAAGATTCTGTTGCAAAAAACCAAAAAATTTCATTATTATGGTTTCTGTGGATCAGGAATGTGGACGTGGCTTTGAGATCTCTTGAAGCCAGGGGTTTGAGACCAGCCAGGGCAACATAGTGAGACCCCGTGTCTATAAAAAACAAAAAATTAGCTGGGTGTGGTGGCACATGTTTGTAATCCTAGCTACTCAGGAGGCTGAGCCAAGAGGATCACTTGAACCCAGGAATTTGAGGGTGCAGTGAGTTATGTCTGATCATACCACTGTACTCTAGCCCAGGTGACAGAGGGAGAAAATCACATTTTAGAAGAGTATTGGTCAATGTAATATACTGGTATCAATAAACAGGCTACAAAATGGCATGTAGACTATGATTCTGTTTTGTAAAGAAAATACCCTAAAATATATTTACTCTAAAGTATATTTGTGTCTGTATGTGTAC